GGATTCATACCTTTCCAATGTTATTTGTGCGAATGCAAACACATCGGTCTCGTTTGGAATTTGATATCTGCTCGCCAATCCGACTGATAACCGTTACTGATTATTATTGTCTGTGTATCTTAAGTTTCCTGCTTTGTAACCTATAGAGCCGGTTCCAAACTATGGTCTTTAGGCCCTATAGGAGAATTGTCTTATAATTAATAACACTTTTCTTAGTTCCGAGTAGGTTGCTCTTTTGGGCAGCTTATATGTTGATGTTACCTGGGGACACTTTTAGCAAAATTCTCCCTTCCTTTTCTCACGAGGTCCAGACCCCTGACTACTATTGATGCAGTCTCAATTTTCATTCCCCATACTTTGTTAATCTGGATCTCTAGGTCTTTGTATTTCGACAATTTCTCGATAATTTTCATGGAGTTGTTTCTCTCATTTGGTACTGCTATGCCAATAGGCATACACTTACTGAATTTCTTGTCTTTCATGATAATATCAGGTTTGTTTGCATTTATATCCTTGTCAGTTTGAATTGGCATGTCCCAGAGAATAGTTACATCGTTATTTTGTGTAACTGTGTCTGGTTGGTGCTCATACTATCTCTTAGTGGTTTCGATTTTGTGCTTCTTGCATATCTTCCAGTGCACATATGCCGTACTTTGTTATGTCTCTAGATAATATTATTATTATTATTATTATTATTATTATTATTATTATTATTATTATTTTATTTCCTTTGACTTCTGGGATATACTCTTCTCTTTCCAGGTCCCAACGAGAAACCTAAGGTCAGAAATGGCAACATGACATTTTCGAGCGAGCAATTTTGAGAAAAATATTCACATATATTTTACATAAATAAATCCCTTGTGAGAACAATTTTTTTTATTTCTTTAAGGCATGGACTACCAGGAATCCCTTTAGTGAGTCTAATGGAATCTTTTCCAATTAATCCGAGGGCTCCAACTACAACTAGAATTTTTGATGACCTCATGTGCCACGTTTTTTCAGATTTTGATTTAAGGTCTTTGCATTTTGATATTTTTGAAGATCTTCAAAGATACATTGCAGTCAGCAGGGACTGCCATCTAAAAAAAGAGGCACATTTTGTCTTTGCGGTCGCTAATCACGATGTCATGGCGATAAGCCATGATTCTTCTGTCTTTGTGTATTGTAAAGTCCCATAAAATTGTTACTGATGCTATTTCTGTAAAGCAGTTTGGGTGGTGTTCATACTAATATCTTGAAGGTTTCTCTCTGTAAAAGTTGCAGATTTTCCATTGCAGATATTGACACAATCTGACATTTTTGATCTGATCTGATTTTATATTCACTGATGGGCCAGTACCGCGCAACCTGATGCAAGATGGTCAATTGTTTCTGGATATTTATCACAGAATCTGCATTTTGGGCTAACGCAATTTTTCAATATGCGTGCGTGATAATTTCTAGTTAGGAAGCATTGGTCCTGGGCAGAAATTTGTCTACACCAAATTGTTGGGTACGGGGAAAATATTGACCGTGTTTCTGTATTTGATCGATTGCATTTGTTTTTGCTTTCTTTTTTCAGTATTTTATTATTATTATTATTATTATTATTATTATTATTATTATTATTTTCTTTGATTTCTGGCGTTTACATTTCTTTCCGGTCCCTTGAGGGACCTAAGGTTAGAAATGGCATCATGACACTTTCCACTGACAAAAAAAAAAAAAATTAAAAAATAAAAAAAAAATACATAGATAAAGCCCTTCGTAAAGTGTGGGCTGTACTTGTCAGAACAATTTTTTGTATCTACTTGAGGCATGGACTTCCAGGAATCCCTTCAATTAGTCTACAACAATCTTTTCCAACCAGTCCAAGGGCTCCAACTACAACAGGGATTGTTGATGTTCCCATATGCCACATTTTCGAGATTTCTATTTCAAGGTCCTTGTATTTTGACAACTTTTTGAATATCTTCAAAGATACATTGCAGTCAGCAGGGACTGCCATATCAATAAGGAGGCACTTTTTTTTGTTTGTGGTCTTTAATAACAATATCTGGGCGGTTGGCTTTGATTGTTCTGTCAGTGTGTATTGTGTAGTCCCATAATTGTAACAGGTCCTATCTTATTATTTTTGTGACAGGTCCTATCTTATTATTTTTATAACAGGTCCTATCTTATTATTTTTGTGACAGGTCCTATCTTATTATTATTATTTTTGTCGTTGTTGTCGATTCATAGTTAAATTTATTCGAATTTAATTTAATAGTGAATGCCATATTGCATTTGTTCTGTTTCAGAATTAAGTTTGATAGTATAATGACAAGATCTTCCTCAACCAGGAGTGACATTTATTTTGCACCAAGGGACAAAAACGAAGAGGCGCTTTTGTAGTTGTAAATGTTTTCCCTGGCTAAACTACATTATTGAAGAAATAATTCATATATACCTACATGTTCACGACTAATTGAAATTATGTTAGCAATTATGAGGACATTTAATTCTATAGTAGAAAATGTGTACTTTCATATATATATATATATATATATATATATATATATATATATATATATATATATTTTTTTTTTTCTCAACAAAAGAGATTCATTCATTTCTGTAATTCCTGCCAACAGCAAGCAGAAATAATTCTCCTCCCGATGATGGCCATTTCGGTCGAAACTAGTCGAGGAATCTAAATGGAATAATAATAATAAAAAACGAAAGAATGTTAATCTACAACCCAGTGTGTCTAATGATTTTAATTTTTAATTTTTAATTTTCTTATTGTTCAATATATATATATATATATATATATATATATATATCGAAAATGGATATTTACAAGTGTAAACTGTCGTTGTAAATATTTTTAGAGGTGTAAATCTATCTTTCAAGACCTATCCTCTCCTCCACCTGGTGTTTAAGTACTCCCAATCGGGAGTATTTTGACATAAGTAATTAAAATTGCAAAGAAACACGCATAAGTAATCTATTTCTGACGTTAATCATGGCGCCGACTTAACAGAACTTACATTCATATTTTAAACTAAAATTCAGTGTTATAAATACGTGGAATTACCACGGGTACAGATTCTTCTTCTTCTTCTTCTTCTTCTTCTTCTTCTTTTCTTCTTCTTCTTCTTCTTATTATTATTCATTTTTGCGTCTACAATTACTTACTTAACACTGTTTTTTTTTTGTTGTTGTTTTTTTGTTTCTTTTCTTTTTCGACGACCCACCTTCGATGTTTACGCACGTAAATTACATTGACAAATGTAAGTGAATGCTTGGGTTGTACGTTTATTCACGGATTTCAATGTAGACCAACTTATCAACCACTCCTGATTATCATTGTTATTATTATTATTATTAGTAGTAGTAGTAGTAGTAGTAGTATTTTCGTCTTCTTCTTCTTCTTCTTCTTCTTCTTCTTCTTCTTCTTCTTCGCACACTTGCCAAGGTGAGTTTTGTTTATCTTGAATGACAAAGATAAAAAAAAAAAAGCTTTTAGAGCCTCAAAATAATAAATAAAAAATAAAATAAAAACCCAAAAAAAACAAATGACCAGACACGACGTGTGTGTACTTTGTAAAAAAATTACAGGTTAACCTATGCGTATTAAGACCAGCATTGTTTGAAAACAAGACAAGCTATAGTTGCTTCAAAATCAGACCTGGTTGAATTCAGTAGTTGAAACAAGGACAGTTCGGATTTGAGTTTTTAACTGCAAGCTATTCGTAAGGAAATTCTTTTTATACAACATCGATCCATCAGCCTTTAGACTGCTTGATTGATTTGTTGTTTTTACGTCTTATCAACCTTTTGCAAGTTACCTGAAGCCAGAAAATATTTTTAGATAGTATTTTTTTGTTGTTTAGATAATAATGATTTACTAATAGAAGTCTTACTAACTGACTCATAGCTGAGGTGGTGGGAGAGGTGGATTCATATCTTTCCCTTTCATGGCGTGTTCTACGGCCATAAAATTATCTGTAAAAATCCCTCTATCAAATCGTTAATTCTAGAACACTAACCATGGGTATATAATGCCCAGCGCAATAATATGTTTTTTCAGTTCCTATTAATGTTAACTCAAAGTACAAAGTTTGAAGTGCCTGCATGTAAAATATTTCAAATAAAGATTTATATTTAATATTTTTTTTTGATATTTTCAAAATCGGGTATGATATACACATGGTTAGTAGAGGTGTAACTTTAATTGATGGTTAGTGTTCTAGGGTTAAATATTTGAGATTAACAACTTTAACAAAATATTGCAATAACAATTATAAATATGAATACTGATTGTTATTTTAAGAAGTAAGGGGGTACAAATGAAAAGATTTGAAAGTGACAACATTTTCCATTTCACTAAAACTGACGTTAAACACTTTTATCTTCCATTTCTATTTTCATTCTTTCAATGAAACCAAGTAGCGTCTATGATATATCATTTCTATCTTTTCACACGGTCAAAAGTGAATAGTCCCTTATTTATGAGGTGTTGGCAAGGCGTAATGGTCATGCCAAATAACGAAGAGATGGATAAACAGAATTATAATTGGATAGATAATATTACACTGTAAATGAATTTAATATTAAATTGCATTTTAAATCATTTACCATGGAAATAAATTTTTACTTTATTTTCTATAGAAATATACTGAAAAGAAACGAGAAAGTGTTTGTCAATGGCCAACAGTTAAGAAAGTGTTAAAATCTACAGAAGGATACTGAGAATACCATGGACCGAACATATGAGCAACGACAATGTTCTAGAGAGAATAACAACAAAAAGACACTTAACATCAGAAAGAGACCGTTTAAAATTCTGGAGCACATAATGAGGAAAGAGGGTTTGGAAAATTTGATACTCCCAGGACAGATTGAAGATAAGAGAAACAGAGAAAAGCAACGTACAACCTCTTTGGCGCACTTGAGTGAATGGATAACGAAGCAGGTTTTTGGAGAGATGGCAAAAATACAAAAGATTTTAAGAGCTACAAAAGACAGGACTCACGGCCGTATAACATTGAAACTATCGGTTCCCCTACGATCCCCGAAGTTAAGCAACATCAAACCTGGTCAGTACTTAGATAGGTGACCGCTTGGATGTGCAGGTGGTGTAATGACACGGAATTTTTAATCGGAGAGCCGAGTTCCAATTCACGATGAATTCGTTATATTCACCTATGTGCAAATATCCTTGTGTAAGGCATGAATCCACCTCTTCTCCCCATCTATGGGTTAATTAGTAAGAATTGTATTACTAAAATCAATATTATCTCCTACAAAAATTCTGATAATCTAAAACTATTTTCTGGCTTTAAATAACCAGCAAAGGGTTGATAAGCCGTAGAAAACGAATCACCCAGTCAACAGAGAACGGCGATTTGTCAAGAGCCATGATCGCCAACGTCCTGTAGGGACACGGCACAAAGAAGAAGAAAATTACTAGCAGGAAAGTGCTATTATATGTATAATAAAAATGAAATGCTAGAATATTCGAGGCGGTGTAATGGTTAGCAAGCTTGTCTCGTTAGAACAATTACGACTGAGTAGTGAGTTCGATCCTCACTAGGTGCCTCCTACTTTCGGCCGTGTCAACATCTAAGGTACGCTTGAAAAATCACTATAATAGACACGGTGGGGTAATGGATAGCGGCTCGGATTGAGGAATCGGAGAGTCGAGTTCGAATTCCATTCGAATCCATTACACTCACTTACGTCCTATCATCATCATCTTCTCCCTAAAGCCCAGCTATGGGTAAGTAGCAGGACAGAACGGGTTCTATAGCCTTAGATGGCAACTTGTCTACCGTAGAAAGAAATGGCAACCTACTGCGGGGAAAAAAATCTGCCTTGTTAGTCATGTATCGAAAGATACATGATCGTCTAAGCGTGTATCACGTATGGCACATAACTGAATGACTGAATGTTTTTAGAGAGAAAAAATTAAATTAGGAAGAAAGGGATAGTCAGTGGTCAGGAATTAAGACAAACATTACAGAAAGAATAAGATTATGAATAAAAGAAATGCATCGCTGACAATTTTATGATAAAATACGTTGTAAATTAATTTATTATAGAAATGCATTGTAATTTATTTTACCACAGAAGTCTATTGTTAATTATTTTACTATAGAAATGCACTGAATATCAAGAAGAAATTAGATATCAATGGTAAGTAATTAATGCAAGCATTAATCAGAGAAAGGGCTTATAAAATCTACAATGCAAAACAGGATAATGCATATTAATTTTTCTTTCTTTCGTATTAGTTTCACAACCAGTGAAAATAAAAAGAAAAACTGGCGGGCTTAAATTATTTATTTAACTCTTTGGTTCTAAGGAAAATGCGATGATTATTTTGCACAAAGGGTAAGGTTGGCGCGAATCTAAGTAAACTAGACGCCATGACGATTTACAATGACCGGCGAATTATTCTCACCTTCGAAAATGTCATGGATATCCCTGTGAGATGTAATTCATCAATGTAAAGTGTAAGTCAGGTGCAATTCCAAATCGTGTTTCGTACAGTCTTTCACCTTATCAGTCGTTGTTTGCCGCCATCGCGGTTGGGACCTGAATTGAATGCATAAATCAGGAAGTTTTGGCGCCCTCTCTCGTTTTGAATGTGCCACCGCTAGGGGGCGGAATGGAATTATGGGCTGAATTTCGAAAAGCAGTGGCTAGAATAAAAAGAGAATGCGGAGTTTTCTTATAAAGATACCTTTGCTTAATTCTTTGTCCGATACCCGGCGTTCATTCTTAAAAATAACAAAATAATTAAAATTAAATAAATAAATAAAATAAAATAAAATAAAATAAAAAAAACGATGAGAAAAGTGAGATACACACTTTAAAAACAGAATAAAATCATTTATTTTAAATAATCTTCTTCTATACGTCGTGGCCCTTCAGGAAGTGGGCGCTTATGGCTCTCCAAAATTTTCCTGTTCATTGTAGGTCTTAGTAAATGTTGGCTTTTCCTATCTGCTGTAATGTCTGCTCTGCCAACCATTTACACAATCCCATTTATTAAGTTTCACCTGCTTTCTTCTGTTTCATCTTGCCTTCAGTAAGTCTTGTGAGTGTTAAATTTTCTAAGCCCTCTTTCTTCATCAAGTGGCCTAGAAATATCATATGTCTCATTCTGATTTTAAGCATCAGTGTTCTTTTCTATTCCCTTTTCTCTAAAACTTCGTCGTTGCTCACATGTTCAGTCCATAATATTCTCGTCATCCTTCTGTAGAACCTCATTTCTTTTCCCTCGGGTGTCTTCTTCTTCTGTGAGGACATTGTTCAACATTCTCTGTTCTATTCAGCACTATTTTTGTTTCTATTTTCTCTAAAACTTCCCCGTGGCTCGCAATGTTCAGTCCAAGATATTCTCGGAATCCTGCTGTAAAAATCTAAAAATAATGGATTTTGATTTTTCAATATAATTGTTTTAAGTGTCACTGCACATAAACAAGAGCAAAAACGAAATTTGATGTCCATTTTTTTTTTTACTATTTTTCACCCAACACAAGGCCCAAGAGCCACTCATGGTAGAGAGTTACTAAATGAGATTGTTTCCCAGGATTTAAACCAGTAAAACTTAGCTTTGAGTCAGGAATATGTCTGAGCAGATATCCCAGACACCGGGTCAATCTCAGCAATGCTTTCAAGCCTAAGCTGACATCCCTACCGACATTGTTTGACATCTTTGATTATATTAGCGATATGCAAAAGATACCAGTGTCCATTATGTTAACAACAAGATACTGAAACTTCTTTCTTCTTCCAAGACGTGGGGGGGGTCATTTTCCTCCACAAATTCCTATCATTTGTGGCTTAAATATTTGAGCCGTCACTACCATATTTCTTGTGTATTTTTTTTTTTTTTTAAATCAATTCGCTCCAAGCAAGGCAATGGGTCTACTGGGAATGATAGAGAATTGAAAAATTTCAGAATGAACTGAAAACCAGATACTGAACATTAAATAGTTTAAATCGCTGTTTCTTCTGGTTTATTTTGCTTTCCCGCCAAATGAGGATGTGCAGGTGGTTTAATGGATATCGGCTGGGAATAAGAAATCTGAGAGCAGTGTTCGAATTCCAGTCGGGTTCGTGATATTTATTACTCTTGGAAAAGAGATGAATCCACCGCTTTCTCCAACTATGGGTTAAATAGTAGAACTTGTATCTGATAAAAAAATTCTTAATGCAACATTTACTCGCAAAGAATTATTCTTACAATTCAAATTACATTTTGGATTCAAATAGCTGCGAGGTGTTGATAAACCATAAAAACAAACAGATCAATTAATTTTTCTCTCTCTGAAACACTGCTATTTGACATGCACTGCAAATGAATATGAGCAACCATAGAATTTCGGAAATGCTTTGACCTCGTCTCTTAACTATAGCTAGTCACTCAAATCATGTCAGATCACTGAATAATTAAAAACTTCAAAATAAAGTACTCCAGACCGTCATATCCACTTACACTTATGAGACTGTAGCTGTCATTCTCGAGTAATAATGTTCTGGCTCATAAGCATATATAACGGGTGTAACAGTAAAATTATCCTAATCGTGTAACAGCAAAAACCAATCAGGCAAGTTACAAACTTTGTATCTGTATTAATTCTCTCTCTCTCTCTCTCTCTCTCTCTCTCTCTCTCTATATATATATATATATATATATATATATATATATATGTGTGTGTGTATATATATATATATGTGTGTGTGTGTATATGTATATGTATGTATATTATGAAATGGTCTAAGTCCGACAATGAATATACTATCTGTTTGTACGTTATTTTTATAGATACAAATATTTAAGCAAATGCTGTTTATAATAAACAGTATTAACTACATTTACCGGCCTGAATGTTCGAGAAATTTTATAGAATATATGTGTCTTTGCTAACAAAACGCTTATTTGTATCTAAATGGTTCAGCACGTCAGGCTATATGACTATTCTGTGTAGGATGCAGGTTCGATTCCTGTCGGAAGATACATATTTTCTAAGAAATTTCTCGGACATTCAGGCCAGTAAATTCTGTTCATTATAAATAGCGCATTTCATAACTATTTTTTCTATAAAAATGACGTATAAACAGAATGAATGAATGAGAATATATATATATATATATATATATATATATATATATATATAAAAAGAACGAGAAGTAAGATTTCAGCGTTTAAAACATTAATTTAAAAGAGGGCTCAATACAAAAGTAGAGCAATAAATATTTATTTATTATGCAGTGTTACATTAGAAGATGCATATATCCACTACAAAACTTTATCTAGTTGCAACGTTAAAAGATCTTTTTTAACGTTGAAACAAGATGTACAGTCTTGTAGTGGATATACGCATGTTCTAATGTAATACTACATAATATATATATATATATATATATATATATATATATATATATATATATATATATATATATATATATATATATATATGTAAATGAGATTTGCTGCACGATCCTGGACGAAAATTTACCGTAGAGGATTTCTTCTGTAATTGTTGTCTGCGTTAGGAATTAGTTGAGGTTCCACCTCTGCACAGGGATATTTGTTTGTAAGAAGTATTTAAATTAAACCGCTGCACGGAGAGGGTTAGGGTTAATATTAGGGTTAGGGTATCTTCCAACTGCAAATATAAAAATAATCCGTAACCAACCTCACCAGAATTAAATCCCAGGTGACAGACATATTGTGGAAAAAAGAAAAAAAAAAAAAAAAAAAATGTCGCATGTGAAATACTAGCTTTTAGCTTTGTTCGAGGAATTGACCCAGAAACATGACCAAGCAGAGGGAAGATAATGAGTGACTAAAGGTCAAGGATAGTTATTTTGGCGGGCCTTTTATCTAAATCATCCAGCTCAGGAAAACAATGAAAAAAAAAAAAAAGAATTAATCGGGGAAATGTTTGTATGACCGGTGATGGGTGATTAGTATATAGTCATAGGCAACAAATTATAAGAGATCGTCGTTGGGAGAGTGAGTACGGTTTAAGTAAAAACAAAAAATAAAATAAAATAAAATAATCAAGGGCCTCGAACTACACAGATCTCAAAGAATAAGTGAGAATTATATATGAATCAAAAATAT